AAACAGAGGGGCCCCCCACATCCTTCTGCTGCATGCGGGGCCCCCCGCCTCCCCACCCCAACCCCTCTCGGTGACTGCCTGCGTTGTTTGGGGGCCCCAGGGGCCCCCTTCTTCGGGGCCCCTATGGTGAGCCTATTGAGGGGCCCCCTTGGGGCCCTTCTTAAACACCCCTCCTTGGGGGCCCCTCTGGGGCCCCCCGGTTGGAGGCCCCTGGGGCCCCATCTGGGGGCCCTCGGGGGCCCCTTCTGGGGGCCCTTGGGGGCCCCTTCTGGGGCCCTTTAGGGGCCCCTTTTTGGGGCCCCTGGGGCCCCCAATAAGTGTTGTTAGTGTATTGATTATTGTGATGAAGATAGTTTGTTTGTATTGTTATTTATTTACCATCGTCCGTACCCTCTATCAGCTGGTCTTGTTTCATTTTCACTCCATTTGGGGCCCCCTTGATTCCACCTGGGGCCCCCCTGATTCCACTTGGGGCCCCCCTGGTTATAGTTGGGGCCCCCCTGGTACCAGTTGGGGGCCCCCTGGTATGCATAGTTTGGGGGCCCCCGGGGGGGCTGCAGCTGCAGCCGCAGCGGCTTCCCCTCTATACGCCGCCCATCAAACGCCTCCACAGCCCGACGAGCATCAGCTAGCGTGCGGAACACACAGCCACCCGTACCCTGCAGCAGCAGCAGCAGCAGCAGCAGCAGCAGCAGCAGCAGAAGCAGCAGCAGCAGCAGCAGAAGCAGCAGTAGGGGTATGAGAAGCAGTTAAGAGCAAAAGGAGGAAGAGCAGCAACAACGGCAGCAGGTCTCCTTCTATCTTTCTCTCTGTCTGTCTCTCTCTCTGTCTCTGCCCGTCTCTATGTATAAACTAGTTAATTTATTTCCTTTTTTTTTTTTTCTCTCTCTCTCTCTCTTCTCCATATAACTAAGTATTTATTCAATTTGGTTGGTTGTTTGTATATTTATATATTTATTTATATATTTATATATTTATATATTTATATATAAATATATTTATACATTAATATATTTATATATATATTCTCACCAGACTTCTATCCGTCTTATCATAGTCTACCCAGACCTTAATCAATCCCTCGCAGCTATTTAACAATTCCTTTAATTCACTATCCAGCACAGAGTAATCTAAACCACTGATACGAACGACAGTGCTGCGGGGGCCCCCTTGGTTTGGTGAGGGGCCCCCCCCATATGGGGGCCCCCCCCCAGAAGGGGAGGAAGAAGGGGGGCCCCCTCCATATGATCCGGGGCCCCCACCTGAGGATGAAGGACCCCCACCGTAAGAGGGGCCCCCAGAAGAGGGGCCCCCGTACGGGGGGCCCCCCGGTGAACTGTAGGGGCCCCCGTACCCTCTACTACGGTTTGAGGGGGTACCCCATGAACCCCCCCGACCCCAGGAAGAGGAATAGGGGGCCCCCGCCCAGCTGCCGCCTCGCCCGCCGCGGTATCCTCCTTCACCACGCTGCAGAAGCAACAGCAGCAGCAGCAAATGCAGCAGCAGCAGCAGCAGCAGCAGCAAATGAAGCAGCAACAGCAGCACGAAATGAAAAGACGAAACGCTAGAGAATAGACAAGAGGAGAAACTGCTGCTGTTGATGCTGCCGCTGCAGCACAAGTAGCAACGAAGCCAGAACAAGCAAAAACAGCAGCAAGAAGAACAGCAGCAACAGCAGCAGCAGCAGCAATAGCAGCAACAGCAGCAACCGCATGCAGCAACTCACCATGTATCCTCCTCTGCGTACGGGCCCTTCTCTTCTCTCTGTCCTTCGCTCCCTCCTCTCGGCCTCCACGATATCATCTGAGGTGTACAGACACCACAAACACCCAATGCAACTGCTGCTGCTGCACCTGCTGCTGTTGCTGCACCTGCTGCTGCTATCACTCCTGCAGCTGGCGCTGCAGCTGCTGCAGCAACTGCTGCTGCTGCTGGGGCAGCAGTAAGCTCTAGCGCCATGGCAGCAAGAGATATATGCACAGGCCTCCTGCGACGCAGCTATGCAGCAGCAGCAGCAGCAGCAGCAGCAGCGACAGCAGGAGCATCAGTAGCAGCAGCAGCAGCATGCGCTCTTGTGGCCGCTGTCGTACCAAGGGTCATATCTAGCATTGACTTCGCCATTTTGCTGCTGCTGTTGTTGCTGTTGTTGCTGTTGTTGCTGCGGCTGCAGCTGCGAAGAGTGCCGCACGAGGTGCTGCTGCTGCTACT